GGTGGAACAACAACACGTCTCGCTTTTATTGCATCCAGTGCTAAAATATAGAGCCATCCGGCCTGTGCAGGGAATGCTCAGATGGAGTTTGCTTGATCTTTAGCAGTGTTTTAATCTATCTATCAGCTGGTGTTCTGGTTCCTGAAGCTCAGATGACTGCATGAATCAGTGTGAAACCCTCCACATGATCAGATGCAGCTCATTTACCCACAGCACAGCTGATAAGACACAGCAGGCATCTGGCTGGAACAAATGTAATCATATATTAAGAGCCAATCTGGGACTAAGAATAGTTTAGGGGGTTATTGAATGATTTTGTATTTATTTACCTAAATAATAACACATGCGGGTAACTCTATTACCACCTTAAATGAGGTTTGTTACTGAGACAATAGTGCATGTGTGCTGTAATACTGTAAAATAGGATTGTGCACATGCAACATGTTGGAAAAGTAGTACTCCAGTATTAAACTAAATATTTTTGTCTTTTAGACCAGTGGTTTTCAATCTTTTTGACTTCAAGGTCCCTTATTATTAAGGACAATATTTCAATATTTGAAGACCCCTCAAGATATTATGCTATAATGATGATGCTTCATACTTTTTTTGTTTTTAACTGAACCTATTAGTAGCAATATAGTAAAAACAATTAAATAAAATAATTATTAATTTTTATTTTTATTTTAAGGTGTCCTTGTTACAGTGTAATTATACATTTAAGTACTGAGTAATATTCATTAACTACATGATTAGGGTTTGGTTTAGGGTTACTTGCATGTAATTATGCATAATTTAGTGTTATTATAATAGTAAGTACATGCAACGTAACAAGGACACCTTAAAATAAAGTGTTACCTTTTTATTTTTAATTTGTAATTACAGGGTTGTACTACACACAACCACACATACATATATATTCATACACACATTAAGTTCATTATAAAAATATTACTTAATATTTTAATTGAAATGATTTTTCCCCATAACAATTATACTTTTAAAATGACCTAAAGTATATGATAAATTAAATTGAATATATATATACATATATATATAATACAAAGCTAGAGCTGTTATGTAAACAGGTCGCGTGCTGCATTCGTCCAATCATCAGAGCTTCTTTAATCTTTAACCTGTATGTATGTATGTATGTATGTATGTATGTATGTATGTATGTATGTATGTATGTATGTATGTATGTACTAAAAAGTCTCGGCATCCGTCTAAAAAGCTCTATGGCCAAGACATATTAAAATACTGATAAATCAACTCATCAGTTTACAGTCAGGGTTGCCAGGTCTGTGAAACAAAACCAGCCCAATTACTTTAAAAACTAGCACAATCACGTTTTCGTGAATCGGGGGTCCGCTCCATCAAAAATGCATTCCAGGATCATTTTAACCCGAAAAAAAAAAAAAACGGCAACATTATAAAAGTAGCCCAATTTCATGGTAAAACCTCAGACTTGGCAACCTTGCTTATAGTGTAAGGCTCATTGCACTCCATTGTCAGTTATGCTCCTTCCTGATATGTGTCCTCAATCCGGCAACAGTAACCGCTAGATACTGCACCCTTAACCTCTGCAGTGTATATTACGGCTAGATACTTAGCAATCGATAGCCAATCAAATGCCTCAAATGCGTTTGAAGGGAAAAATGTAAAATGGTGATGGAAACACGTGAATTGGAGTAAGAACGTTTCGGTTACGTATGTAACCCTCGTTCCCTGAAGGAGGGAACGGAGACGTCACGTCGGTGATGACCGACGAATTGGGATCTCGCCAGAGAGACCAATCCACTTCTAGTGTAACTAAACGAGCCAGTGCACATTGGCATGCAATTATTTCATCCAGCTGCCGCTGATCACAGCGTGAGTATAAGAGGCAGCAGGTGCACCGCATTCATTCATGCTTTCGCTGAGGAGCCGAGCCGGTGACCCGGCAGCTCCTGCGGTGGTACAGCAACTGTGACGACGAGACGTGACGTCTCTGTTCCCTCCTTCATGGAACGAGGGTTACATACGTAACTGAGACGTTCCCTTTCAGTCGGTCACTCTCGACGTCACGTCGGTGATGACCGACGAATTGGGATCCCTATCAACACGCCACAGGTGCTGCCCCCTCCAGTGCCCTGTGTAGGCCTCCTGATCCTTCCTATAAGGCAGATGATAGGACCGGGCTCTACACAGAGAAGATCGACTATAGTTGTTCCTCGCAACCCAACAGTAGGACTTGGATAACACTGGGAAAGTGTGCCCTTCTATTTGGAAGAGGACACACTGCGGAGTCACCTCCTCCTAGAGGGGGTTAAGTGACATTTACTCATGTGGAGTAACCCCGAGGGGCCCTACTGCACATGGAAGTCTCTGAGATGGCTCATGGCTGCATCATTTTAGAGAAGGCAGAACGTGGTTTGCCAGGGGAAACACGGCCTTAGTAACTGTACCGTGGAATACACATATGGGATCCCAATCGGGTCACACACATGGGCAGTAGTCTCACACCAGATTTCAGGAATTCATTGGCTGAAAGGCCTGGCGCTGGATGCTCCGCCACGTCTGGCCGCCGGAGTGCTGGAGGACTCGACAGGGTCTGCCTGGTCAGGGGACTTTCTGGAGAACTAGGCGTCCAGGATGCTGAAAGCTGACTCTGAACCGGGCCTCTCAGTGCCACTACCAGTTTGAGGTGAGAACACAGGAGGAAAACGGTTCGACACGCAGGCAATAGAACCTAGCGGACGTGTTAGGAGTCGCCCAGCAATAACACAATGTGCTCTACAAATGTCTGCTAGCGAGGCACCACGAGCCAGTGCCCAGGACGATGCAACATCCCTGGTGGAGTGAGCACGCAGCCTGAGCGGGCAGGGCACACCTTGAGCTTCGTAGGCCAAGATGATGGCATCCACTATCCAGTGGGCCATCCTCTGCTCTGAGCAAGGCATACTGCTAGCAACTCGAGGCAATTGATATGCCAACGCAGTTGGGAACCCGTCCAAACCCCTGAGAATGCGTGCCCGTTGTACGTGGCCCCCCAGCCGGTGGCCGAGGCATCCGTGAATACCAGAGCATACCACAGCATGCCTGGATACCTGTTTGGATACCTGTTTGGAGCCAGTGCTGAAGCAGTCTCATATGGAGCAGACCGAGCGGAACTACCGCCGCAGCTGCAGCCATATGCCCCTGGAGCCTCTGAAAGAATTTCAGTGGGACCGCCGTCCTGCCTGATAAAGTCTTGAGGCAGTTCAGCACCGACTGAGCACGTTCTTGGGTGAGGCGTGATGTCTAACTGACCGAATCCAACTCCATGCAGAGAAAAGAGATCCTCTGCGTTGGCACAAGTTTGCTCTTTTCCCAGTTGACCCGAAGACCCAACGGGCTGAGGTGTCTGAGCACCAGGTCCCTGTGTGCGCACAACTGATCGCGAGACTGTGCGAGTATGAGCCAGTCGTCGAGATAATTGAGAATGCGCTCCCCCTGTTCTCTCAAAGGAATAAGGGCTGCCTCCACGACTTTGGTGAAGACGGAAGGCGACAGGGATAGCCCGAAGGCCTGACCTTTGAACGCAAACCAATCGCTGCAAACCAATCTTGGGGACGGATGCACTCGAAAATGCATTTCTGCATCAACATCTTGAACGGCAGCTTGTGAAGCGCACGGTTCAAAACTCGCAGATCCAAGATCGGTCATAACCCACCGCTTTTCTTGGGCACAATGAAGTAAGGGCTGTAAAACCCCAACCTCATATCGGCTGGAGGGACCGGCTCTATGGCGTCCAGCAGGACTGCGATTTCCGCACGCAAGACAGGGGCATCAACAGCCTTGACTGAAGTGAACCAGATGCCCCTGAACTTGGGGGGACGCCAGGCGAACTGAATCACGAACCGAAGGAAACGGCATGCTCCCTCCACACTTTAGAGGAGCCAGTACGTCCCTCCGGTCGCTCCACCGGCTGCAAGTGCTTGAGGGGTGACGAACTCCCTCTGGGGAAGCCGTCATCGGGATCCTCAAATCACTTCTGACTCCACTGGACGCAGCACCACCCTGATTGCCGAGACGAACACTGGATCGCGGCAGAGCGACCCTGCCACGTTTGACGTAACAGAGTCTTTCATGCCACTCTTAGATGGTCATGTCCCCACAAATAGAACATGCACCGTCCATGAACGCTTGCTCAGCGTGTTCAATGCCCAGACACGTGAGACAGCGATCGTGACCGTCACGAGGCGCTAGATAGCGACCGCACCCAGAAACGCACGGGTGATAAGACATCTTTTAAAAGACGTGATCACCCGTGTTGCTCTTTTAGAGAAATGCTCTTTTGTGCTGATGCACACAGGGGAGCTGGCCATCGCACACTCCTAGTGTGGCTGTCTGCACGATGATGATTTCTGTTCCCGCCGTGCGACCGTGACCACCGCTGCCGTGTTGTAACGCCCGCACTCGCTGGCTCTCTGCTTTGCAACACCGAAGTAAAGAGCAGTAGTGATGCACTACCGCTCTGCTCCGAAGCGAAAGGATGAATGAATGCGGTGCACCTGCTGCCTCTTATACTCACGCTGTGATCAGCGGCAGCTGGATGCAGTAATCGCATGCCAATGTGCATTGGCTCGTTTAGTTACACTCGAAGTGGATTGGTCTCTCTGGCAAGATCCCAATTCGTCGGTCATCACCGACGTGACGTCGAGAGTGACCAACTGAAAGGGAACTTCTTACCTTTTTAGTCCGAAAAGTCTTTTGCGAGGGTGTTGCTATGCAGTTGTTTTCGTGATCTATCTGGGGTTTTAATGCATTGTTATGCAGTTGATTCAATTATTCTATTGGTTCTTTAATGTTTTAATTTTTTTTCAGTATTCTTTGATGAATAGAAAGTTAAAATAAAAATTTTTTTTAAATATAAATTTTGTAAAATTATTTAGTGCATTCTTGCAAAACAAATGTCTTAAAACAAATTTTACTGCCCCCAAAATGTGTACAATAGTGTATGTTAAATATTAAAGACTTACCCGAACCATTACAGTTTGGGTTAGCAGGCTCTGTGTGAGACACCAGGACTTGAGGGCTTTTTTCAAGGTTTTCAGGATCAGATCTTTTGAGGAACCTTCAATGCATGTCTGCATTCAGATGCAGTCCAGTGGAAGCTTCGGTACAGAGATGCACACAGACCTCAGTTACATTATCACAGCAGCGTTCAGCCGCCTAGTAAATAACACTGATGCATAAATGGACTCTAATGTGCTACATTTACCTAGCCAGGGCAGATTTTCTCCGGTCACTCCTAAAGATCACGCCGTACATTCTGCAGTCTCTCCTACAGGTCTGTATCATTTAATTCCGGCCCATTAGAGCTGCACTCTTAATAATGGAGCAATGGGCAGTTTACTTAGATTAAAAGCTTCCCTCTAAATAGGGTCGTAATAACAGAAGCGCAGTCTGGCTCTCCAGACCGGCCGAGTGCAGTTCGTGTGTGTCTCTCTCGCCGCTTGCATAATGATCTACTCACTGTACTAACACGGTGTCTTTCTCTATAATTCACTCATTTACTCAGCTTCGTGCCCTTTGCAGGGAATGCCATTATTATTATTATAATATTCATAAAAGCCACATTGTATTATATAATTGGGGCCTCGTACAATGAGTTCCACAATAATATGTCATATTCTTGCCAAGATTAGTATTTAGAGATGTGGTTAAATTATTTTCTTGTTTAAATGTTGTTTTTCTAAACACAAAATGGTCTTACTTTCCAGTCATCATCCTGGAAATGGGATAAAATTACTGAAGAAGCAAAACTTGAATATGGTTGCTTTCAGAAAATATATCTTAGAGGTTTATTTAACTTACAACAAGAAAAATATTTACTGGGGTAAGTAGATGTTTGGTAAGGTTTATGATTAAAAGTTAAGAAAATGAACAATTAAAATATGTGCATTCCCTGAAAACAGTTTTTGCTTCTCAAGTAAATTTATTTTAAGTATGTTCAGATATTTGTGCTTGAAAAAAAGATGAAAGTATTCATTAAGAATTAAGCTTTTTTTGTTTGTTTGTTTCTTTTT